AAAAGAAAAGTTTGCTAGAAATATTATAATTTTTCAATCAATATTATGTTAGCATTTACTTTCACATGCACCATTTTCTTGTCAGAAAAAAAGTTTAAACTTTGTACAATCAATATGAAATTTCCAACTTCATGAAATCAAACTCTGCTACTGTTTATGCTAGCATTTATTTTTACATCAATTTCCTGTCAGAAATAGGCTTAACAACAGCTTTATGAAATTACTAACTTTATGAAAATAATTTCTGCTACTGAAGTTGTAGCCATCTATTTTTTTCTTTCCAAATTACAGCTACTCTCAGAGACTAATAATCACTGTTGTTTATGTTATCAATTTTTTTGAACACCATTTTGTTGCCAGAGATAAGCTAAACTTTATTGACATATTCTGCTACTCATTGATAGCTTTTCCAAAGGTTTAGAATCACTTTGTGTTTATGTTAGCATTTATTGTCACATCATTTTGTTGGCATCAATAAGCTTAACTTAACAACAACTATATGGATTTATGAGAAAACAAATCTGCTACTGACATCAATTTTGTTGGCATCAATTTACACCTCATTTTCTTGTCAGAAATAAGCTGCTTAACTTACCACAAGATATATAAAACCAAAAGCTTCATCAAAGAATCGTTTCCTTCACAAAAACAAGCTTAACTTAGTACAAGCTACAGTAATCATAATGATTACTGCTAATATTAATCATCTCTGTGCTGGTTAGATTAATCTCGAGCAAACTGGTATATATAATGAGAGATCTCTGCTGGTTTATGCTTGCAGGAATACATCATGATTAAGCAGCTGTTCTTATGCAACAATTACCTGCAAATTTTACTCGGATCTCTGCAACAAATGCTGTGAGATCTTTTGTCCCTCCTCATGTGTCTCTACTGCTGCTTTTGGGCATCCAAACTTTTCCTCGTGCTCTCCCTCTCACTGTTCCCCAAAAGTGAGCCGAGTTAGCTTCCTTTTCTTTGTTTACTTGTTTGGAATGGTTGCAGCTGCAGCAGCAGTCGGATCAGTAACTCCTCTTTTTATTGCTTCTGGTGTTCTGCTTTGGGTTTGCACTGTTCCATCACTGCAAGGACTGAAGCTGCAGGGTGGTGGCTTTTACTGTGTTCTTGCCATTTCTGATCTGTAGTTGAGCAGTGCAGACAAGACATGAGAGGAGAGGCAGAGTAGAGGCTGTGGGATGTGAGTTAATGTGCTGGTGCTGAATCTGGTTGAAGGATATCTAATCCATCTTCCTTCCATTAATGCTAGAATTCATAGCTAGGGAATCAATCCATGAATACCCAACATAATCTCATCATAAATATTTGTTTGAATGCACATATATATATATATATATATATATATATATATATATATATATATATATATATATATATATATATATATATATATATATATATATATATATATATATATATATA